GAATGTGGTGTCCTGAAGGCCACAAGAAGTGTTTCCGGGAATTGCCTCCCTCAGTGTTGCTGATAGGTTAAGTGAGACAAGGACTGGGAATCTACCATTGGAGCTTAGCAAAGTGTCATAGAGGGAGGGCCAGGAGCCTAATGACAGTGAATGTAAGAGAACATTGGCGAATGGAAGTGGGGTGCGTTCGTATAGATAGCTTTTCGGAGAGTTTTGCTGAAAGGAGAGCAGAGAAATGGGCAGGAATGGGAGGGACCATGGGGTCAAGAAAGGGCTTATTTAAAGGTGAGAAATAATAAGACAATCATAGCATGTTAGTGTGCTGATGAAAGGATTTAGTGCAAGAGGGAAATTGGGGACCCAAGATAAGTAGAGGAGACATTACCATCCAATATTTAAATGGAGGACAGGGGGCCTGTGCGTGTAGAGGGGTGGCCCGAGGAGCATCGTGTGATGGGAAGGAAGGAGGAAGGCAGCAAGTGAGGGGAACGTGCTGGGTGGTGAGGAGAGCTGTAGAGGAACTTAGGGAGATTCTCTTCTAACTTTTTAAATATTTTTTCAGAAGTTAAGAAAATGAGATTATCAGTTTAGGGTAAGGATTGGGTAGTAAGGTGCTGGAGGTTTACAGAGAAAGAAGATAGTAAATACCTGTGGAAAAGTGGGCAATTATATGTCTAGCACAGCATTTCTCAACCTGAGCCCTGTTGTCATTTGGGGCTGGATAATTCTGCTTCAGGAGACTGACCTGTGCATTGTAGATGGTTCTGTGCATCCCAGGCCTCTACCCATCACCCCAACTGTGGCATCCAAAAGTGGCTCCGGCCATTGTCAGATGTCTCCTGGGGTCAAACTTTCCAGCCATAGAGACCACTGGCCTAAGGAAATGTAGTGTGATTGTCAGAGGGCGTCAGCAACCCAGTTGAGGTTCACGTTCATGAATTTAACATGAGTATTGTGTTATACTCAGTGGGCAGGTGCAGGCACAGAATAAGCAGAAAGTTAGGTTTAACAAGCGTTGGGGTTCTGCCAAGTGAGTACAACAAAGAGAGAAAAGAAAAGCTAGGGAGTGGTTTTAATAATTGATCACGGAATTTGTGCTGAGTGAGGATGAAAGTGAGGAAAGATGGTTGGAACATTAGGTAATATACGTTCTGTGGGGTGGAAGGATTATTGGCATTGGGGTTCTGGAGAGTGAGATGTGTTAGGAGTTTTCAGAAATAACCTACTCATAGGATTGGACATGTTATATTTGAGATCTCTAGGAGTTTTCAGAAATAACCTACTTGGCTTCGGTGTCTAGGAAGGAAATCGCAGATGGAGGAGGTGCAGGACGAGCTCATCCACAGGCTGACCATTGGCCGGAGTGCGGCCCAGAAGAAGTTCCATGTGCCACGGCAGAATGTGCCAGTTGTCAACATCACTTATGACTCCACACCAGAGGACGTGAAGACCTGGTTACAGTCAAAGGGCTTCAACCCTGTGTAAGTCTCTCTGGGAGTTCCCCACAGTTTTGTGTGTAAGCATGCATTATTTTCACTCTCATCACCAAGATGTCACAAATGACTCTAGAAATGTAAGAGCCCAAACTGCCTTTGTTAATCTCAGGAAATGGCTGTCGCTGTTTATAGCAAAAAAAAAAAAGACTTGGAAGAAGCAGAAAGAACTCTCCTTTGAGGGCACCCTGTTTTCTGAGTGGTGGTGTCGCATCCCTGGTCCCTTCAGTGAACTGTCTGCAGCGTTGAGATTGCAGCTTCCTGTCTCCCTTCTCAGGCCACTCGAGAGGGACTGTCTTAGGCAGACTCCAGACCATGCAGGGCAGAGAGTCGACTCTCTCCTGCTGCGGGATATAGTGCCAGGCAAATAAAAAACAGGTAACATTGCCTGTTGTGAACCATAATCTAATCTGTCTTTTCCTTTAGTGAACCCATTTTAAAGTTTCTAACGTACCTATTATTTTTGTTAACTTATGTGTTTGTTTGTTTTTTAAACTCCCTTTACTTGATTTTGAGTCTCTGTACACACTCTTTTTAAATGATTAAAAATTTTCTCAATTACAGTTTACATTCAATCTTATTTTGTATTAGTTTCAGGTATTCAGCATGGTGGTCAGACAATCATATACTTTTCAAAGCGTCCCCCGATATTTCCGGTACCCACCTGGCACCATCCATAGTCATTGCAGTGTTATTGACTGTTTCCCTATGCTGGGCTTCACATCCCTGTGACTGTTCTGTAGCTACCAATCTGTACTTCTCAATCCCTCCGCCTTTTTCACCCATTCCCCCAACTCCCTCCCCTCTGGCAACTATGTCTGTTTCTACTTTGTTTATTTTGTTCTTTAGATTTCACATGTAAGTGAAATCATATGGTATTTGTCTTTGTCTGACTGACTCATTTCACTTAGCATAATACCTTCTGGGTCCATCCATGCTGTTGCAAATGGTAAGGTTTCATTCTTTTTTATGGCTGTTTATTATTCATATTTTTAAACCTTTTTTCTTATTATTACTTAAGAAGATCCCTTAACATTTCTTGTAATACTTGTTTGGTGGTGATGAACTCCTTTCAGCTTATGTGTTTTGACACAATAAATTATTTAACTAACACATATTCAAGAAAACTTGAGTATTATAAACTCACTTGCCCAGCATGACTTAAAAGTGAGATTCACTGGTTAGTCAATTACCTTTTACTAGAAAGTTCTCTCTTCTTCCTATGAAACATAAAATTTCAAGGAATTGGTCCTAAACAATAATGATGCTACACCAATTGGCTCCTTTCTGATACTTTATACTCATATAGCAGGGGTGGGGAACGTCTTGCCTGTGGGCCATGTAAGGCTGTTGGAATCATTTGGTCTGGCCCTGCCAAGGCATTAGGGGTGAGTTTATTAAATGTTTGACCAAATATAGCAGGCTACTTTTTAAGTGTATAATTTTGTATGGCTTGAGACTCTATAATAATAAAAGTATAATATGCTAATTAGACTGGACAGCCAACCTTCCAGACAATCTTCCAGATGAAGTCGGGGCTGCAGCTGTGGGACCAAGGCAGTTGCCACGGCGGCAAAGGCCTACGCTTGCACAAATTTCATGCATTGGGCCTCTAGTGATGTTATAAATATCCAAATGGCTCTTGGCAGGAAAAAGGTTCCCCACCCCTGTGATTAGTCTCAGGGTTATATCATGCATGTCCCTTTCCTTATCTGGACTTAGCAGTGTAGTACCATTTGATGAGTTCCAGTGTATGGCACACTCAGAAAAGAGGTTATAGCAGGACCAGAAATGTTTTCTTTTCTTTTTAATAGACAATATTTCTAACCCTCTATTTCTTTGTCCTTTTTTTAGGACTGTCAATAGCCTTGGAGTATTAAATGGTGCACAACTTTTCTCTCTCAATAAAGATGAACTGAAGACAGTCTGCCCAGAAGGGGCCAGAGTCTTTAACCAAATCACCGTCCAGAAAGCCGCATTAGAGGTAGGACTTGTCAATCTGAGGTGGTGGTGTGCATTCGTCAGGAGTGTAGACCCTAATTGAAAGCTCTGGACTCATCTGTTTATGTCCATGTTGGTCAATTTCCCTTCCAAACAGAACTGCATTAAGTTTGACTCAGCATCTTTAATTTGTCACCAGGGACCATCAGTGACCATTTGCAGGGAGATTAATTTGTTATAAATGCTCATGTAACAGGAAGCTAGGGCATATACTTTTGGACATTTAATGAAAACATAGTGTTCTCATTTTATATGCATTAGCTATTTCTGTAGGAATTTCCATTTTGACACAGTAATGGACATTTACTTCTGAGTGAGTCAATGCCTTAAGAGGCCAGAACTCTTTTGCCTGTTCTTAATGTTTAGTTTGGAGACTCCAGTAGGTTAGAGGTTACAAGTTCTTAAAACCGTGGCTGTGTGTCTCAGGCCTCGTTATACATCTAAACAGTCGGAGGGAAAATACCAGCGAGGCATCATGAACATATGAACATAGGGAGCCTCAGGGTAGTTATTTAGTCCTGGTTGTCCGTGGAGAAGCAGAGTAGATAATTTCTAGATTGTACGTATTTAAGCTTCCACTATCCTACTCCACTTAAAAATGGGCCTTGGAGGGGTAGTTTCCAACTTTACATCTCACAGCACTTATCGCCTTCACTTTTTGTTCTACTTGGACTCAAATGAAAGGAGATAGGCTTTGGCGTGAAATTGATATATGATTATCTCCAGCAGGTATATTATGTAAATTGAGTATTCAACTCAGAGTAAAATAGCTTCATGCATACAACCCTGTAACTATTCTCATTCAGGAAAATTCACTTTCCCTTGGAAACTTTCCCACATTGATCTGTACGTATCAGGCTCCCTGCATATGGAATATGAATAAGGAAGTATATCTTTGCCGAGGCAGTTTTGTTAGCATTATAATACATTCTAATTTTATTGAGAGTGTATACATACTTCCTGAGGGTATGATAAAAGTGCCGTATTCCTAGCATTGCTGGATTCCTTTTGTCCAGACTCCCTATCATTGTCATTTGCCCTGACTGCCCATGTCCTCCTGGTCCCTCGCTCCTGTTCCTCTGGCTGTGAATTGAGGCAGAGACTGACTACCTGAGGTTCTTCATCCTCCTCAGCCGCCTTCCCAGCATGCCCCTCTCTTGCATCTAGTTCATTTATTAGATTACTTACCTATGTTTCCAGAAACTTTGATTGATAAGAGCAGGATAAGGAGGATGCACAGGGGTTGCAGGAGGGCTTGGAAAGGAGGAAAGCTGAGCTGACGTCAGAAGGTCAGCACCGTGTGGAGGGAAACTCAGTGTGTTCTGAGACAGTCTTTGGGCCTGATTTAGAATTCCCTAAAGGGGTATGAGTTATCTTCTTAGAGCTAACAAGGGTTCTTTGAGAATTTTCCATCCTATTATGCTTATTGTACACGTATCTTCTTTCTCCCGGG